AATGATGGCCTTACACTTGGGAATCTTCTTGTCACCCTGGAGGACCTTAGAGAGTTTGTGCTGCTGATCCAGGCTTAGTTTGGCCAATTGGAGGAGGAAGGAGTTCATCTCTTCTTTCTGCTGCTGGGCCTTCTTCACTCTTGACTTGTAGCGGCAGCGGGCCAGAAAGCCACGCGCAACTGAGCAAGATAAACAATTATTGTTGGCTCATCATTCATAACCACTTCAGACCGTTTAACCGTTCCTATTGGTTGAGAGCCAATTATGTGGTAAGACTGATAAAGCATTGGCTGGCTGTATGCCAACTCAAGCAGTCCACACAACGTGTGCCAATTTCCATATAAAGATTTTTAATGACCTCTTGTGAGAGGAACATACCAAAACATGGCTAGAGGGGTGATTGAAAACGGTGATATAAAATTTGAAAAATTATGCGAAATTTATTTTTACAAATTTTAGACTTTGTGACTCGAAAGGTATTTATGAAAGGAAATGAATATGTACTAGCCCAACTGACTCAGGGGAATGGATGCTGATTATGTCCTGGCCTTGAATTTAGCATCCATTCTCCTGACCTGTTTTTTTAGACCCGCCAACACATCTTCAGTCCCTTGAGTAAATCCCTTCTTCCCAATGACAGCCTGCCAGACAGAATACTGTTACCATGGGATTGCTTCTTAAAATTCTCGAGTCAGTGAGTCTCCAACTTTCCAACTGTCAAAGTGAAAATCCAGCAAGATCCAACAAGCTGGAATGAAATGTTACATTCAGCGCTCAACGAAATTCAATGATCTCAGATAAATAAAACTAGTGAACAAATCAAACAGTCATCCACGGCTACAGCATCAATTTCTCAAACATGAAATGGTTCACCGTGGTTCAAGTCTGAAACAAAGCTGGGTAAATGATTCCCCAAGAGCATCTTTTCAAAAATTACACAAATTCCGATTTGTGACTGACTGGGTGACTTTACCTTTTTGGATGTGTACGGCTGACTTGCCCAGTTTCTGCATGTGTTCTTCCAGCTGGTCTTGGTGATAGTACTTCAGGAACAACTTGGTTTTGCTGTTGATAAACCAAACATGTGGTCCACCACGATACCGGTATCCGACATAGCACCAAAAACAAGAGTTACACATGTAGGCTAATAGATGTTATCTACACCAAGTTGCCCGTGCTTTGCTTTAGGATCACTGCTACAGCAGCACAATCCAAGGAATACCAGACTGATATGCAAATGGTGCCCTCTGATTCTACACAGGTACTCTGTTGAAATGCAATATTGTTCAGCAAAATTAAGTGGGACCCATATGCCGGTGGCAACAAGTACAGAGCCTCTGTGTGCCATGCAATGCCTATCAAGTCAACACGGCATCAAGCTCTCAAGATCAATTTCTAACAGTGGCAAAAGCAAAGCAGTGTCATCTGCCATATATATTGTCAACGTTGGGAGTTCTGGCATGTTACATGGACCTGCAAGAGGCCCGTCACAAACAGAAACCTATTAAGTGTGTGTGGTGGTATTTGTGAGGTGAGCTTACCCAACGTGCCAATCCGTCAGGCCGACGGTCTTCAGGATCTTGACGCAGCCGTGCTTGTCCTCAGACAATCGAGGGCTGCGAGCTAACACTTTGTACCTGCAAAAGCATCCCAATATAGAACATCCGTTATAAATACAAATTATGCTGGACAAAATCTAGACCTGATAAATTCTTGGGAAAGCACAGGCACTGGAAATCTTCAAAATGACTGAGCTCACCTCTTGACGAAGTCGGCAAAGTGTGGCCTCAGTGCGTAACCCAGACGCCTGATTCTGGTTGTCTCCAGCATACCAGTATAGCGCAACTGAAAATCAAACAACCCAAAGTACATGTACATGTATCACTGTAACCTTGGGTACCAGTTTCACCTCACTGAAGTTCTGCATTCCAGCTTCTACAAAGGATCAAGCGTTTGCTCTCCAACATTTCTCTCACCTGAGCCGTGACAAACTTGTCCTCAAACAGCTTGGCTGACTTGCTGGTGTTTGGCTTGATGCAGCGCACAAAGTGAGGGTTGGACAGGTTCAGAAGCTCCAACAAAACAGACAGTGAATTCTGAATGTGGAAAAATTGAAGGAAACAAGCATAGTGTCCAGGTAAAATAAATGTCAATCAAGTGACCTTTCACTTCAACTAGACGTAAAATCGTTTCAAAATAACATTTCTTTCCAACTGCTGTAAGTTACCACAACCTTTGGTGTTACAAGTCCACGCTTTAGGCTAAAGAGATCAATGCTCCCAGACCAGCATTAATGTCTGATCTCTTTGTGAACATTTGGGTAGAAACCATCAAAGTTGGTTTTTATTTCAGATTAATAGTAACTAACCTTGAACTGTGCACCAACAGTCATCTTCTTGACAGTTTCCCTAGTCCCTAGCTGAGAAATGGGAATAAGGAAAATTTGTTCACATTAGCAGTTTATGTCTCAATCTGATGTGCAAGCAAAGTTGATGCAGTTTACATCAAATTTACATCAAGCTCAAGGTGAGGCTGAAGGTTTCACCTGCATTTAATGAAATTCTAGAAAATCCCCAGAATTAAAACCTTACAAACAAGGAAAAACTGAGAGATTCGAAGGGACAGACATTTTAAGGAGTGCTCAGGAGTGACGGCTTCCTCCACAACCCCAAGGAGCCTTACCTTCGGCTTTGCTGACCTGCGGGTTCTCCTGCGCCGGCTCTGCAGGGCTAGCGTACCAGTTCTAGTGACAGTTCCTGAAGGGACATTACAATGGAAAAAATGTCAACATGAACACCTAGTAATGAGCTAGTTCCAGCATTTCAAAAGGGCAGGTTCGCTGATTAGGCTAATGTCACATGCGCATGTCGGGTTTTTCCCAGATGACCTTTGACATGCTTCAGTAGAGCATGTGCTGTTGGAATACCAAACTGGCTCACTGCAATAATACGATTAACCCTAACCCCCCAGGGTGTATGTAAAAATCATATTGAAATCGGAGGATTTGCGACTGAAGGGCTATGGACAAAGCAATATGCAGCAAACATGGCACATGATTGAAAGAGCCAGTATCATTGAGCTCTGCATTGTCAAAGTCTATGCAGTACCTTTTGCATAACAAATCTCACTCACTCCTAGACATTCCCTATCCGGAATGCAGGCGTTGTTTCTGAAACCCAACAGGTGTACACGTACCATCAGTGTCTGTTTTTTCAGATACTAAGTTCATTGGATTTAAACAAATGGGAGGAAATGGCATTACCAAAGGGACATCATACCAATGCGCATGTTGCACATTTGTCATCACGAAATGCACACAAACCGAGCCACGTGCTTGAAAACCCACTGGGAAACTAGGCCTTTCACGTGCCAATACAAACTGTGCAAGAGTGTGGTAGCATCAGTGATGCCTGTTCTGATTCTACAAAATTAAAACCAAGAGGAATCCAGCATTTTCCAACCTCTGAATATCTGGCTGACGAGGTCATTGGTGCTGGTTCGTAACATCTGCATGACCTTGGATGGCAGCGTGTCACGGTTCTTCTCCAGGAAGAGGTCGGCAGTGTACTCCACCTAACAAAAAAAAATTGAAACAAAATCACACCACAACTGCTCTTTAATGACCAAAATACCAGTGCCTCTTTTGAATGAGCTTATATAGACCCTAAGGAAATAAAAATCTACGTTCAAATCATATTTTTTTTTAGCGGCAAACCACTTGAGACCTTATATACATATCAACTTGTGGCTAGCAAGCTAAATCCAGAACAAACCTGGAATCCAAGCCAAAGATGCTGAATATGAATAAATTCAACCAAGTTTGTTGATAAAGATGCACAAATTATATTTACTCACTAAGACCAATACATTTGTTCAGTAGTTTATTTGTTCTATTCAATGAATTCAATATATACACTAATGCTGAAAGTTTGAAACATTAATGTAAACCCAAGCCGGGTGGGACTCGAACCCAAGACCTGCTTACTAGTGCAGACGTCTTAACCACTCGACCACCGAGCTTGTTGGTGTTGACTGGCTGGTTTGAATAAGATGTTAACAGCGGGTACCACGAACAACACTACAACAGCTATCCATCCTTGAAATAGTTGCTTGCGGTACCCGCTGTTACATCTGATTCCAACCAGCCAGTCAACATCAACAAGCTCGCGCGCGAGCCAGCACGGTGGTCAAGTCGTCTGCACTAGTAAGCAGGAGGTCGTGGGTTCGAGTCCCACCCGAGTACGCTTGTGGTTTTTTTTCACAAGCCTTCAGAGGCATACACTGAGCATACAGTGTTAAAATAGCTCGGGCAGGGCAAAAAATCCAAAATTAATTTACATCTCTCTGGTGCAAATTCATCCTCGAAATAAACCCACACCAATGTTGCTACTAAGATGGGAATCAGCATGCCCATTTGGTTTTACATGAAAAATGTAAAACTGGGTTACTATAATGGCAATATTCCTAGAAAAAAGTGTCCAGTCTTCTACAAAATACACCTCCATGTTTACTTTTCCAACCCTAAATATGCTTACAAACTGATACCCTGGACAATGGAGACATGTGTACATTGAATGAGAGATGTGGAAGATAGCTGTACAATGGAAGTACAATAAACTCTTGCCAAATCAAACCTGAAGGGAACAGGTTCAACATTTCAGTTCCGCAGAGTTTGGACTTAGCAGGATTGTACATTATTGTTATACTACTGCAGAGAATAAAAGATTGTCTGACTTGGGAGTTTTGAGTTAACAGAGTTTGACTTCTCAAGATTTCAGCCATCATCATTGGTACGTTTATGCACAACTCACCCTGCCGGCGTAATGGTCAATGCTGAAGTTGTTGCTGCTGGCAACCTTGGCCTTGATGAAGTGGTGATTGCGAGCAAAGTTCTGGTTGAGTTTCTCCACGAAGGTGTGATCGGTGGCCTTGGGGAAGAGGCACTCTTCGTCCAGGAGGGCCAGGATACCAATGGGCTTGGCAAGGAACAGATCCTGGAGTAGAAGAAGGGGGAAAAACAACGGATCTGCTTTCAAAACACTGTACACAAATGCACAGATCAGAGGCTCTACAAGGCTGCAGATGATGATAACTGGTCATACATGCTCTGCGGTCACTTCTAGATAAGACTTATGCTCCATCCAAAGTTAAACCTCTCAAACCCACCTTGAGTTGAATCTAATATGTTCTTTATTGATTTCAAATCAAACCTAATCTGTAACTTCCAAAAAATCAAATGACTTCCCTCTTTCTAACAAACATGCTCCAACTTATCTTCTAGATACGACTTATACTCCATTCAAAGTTAAACCTCTCAAACCCAACTTGAGTTGAATCTAATATGTTCTTTATTGATTTCAAATCAAACCTAATCTGTAACTTCCAAAAAATCAAATGACTTCCCTCTTTCTAACAAACACGCTCCAACCATTTGGAAATGGGAGGGGGGTGGGGATGGCTCCCCACTTATTCAACTGGGGAGCCAACCCCCTCTCCACTTTTTGCACGTCCTGTAAGGGGTGGGGCTAAATGGATCAGCCTATTAATGGCTGATGCCTTATGTCTAATGACTCCCCCCCCAAATCATTCCGCTGCTGGCGGCTCCAGCAAGGCTGGCCCCTAAGGTACATTTTGAATCTGATACACCATAGGATAATGCAATCAGTGGCATATTGATTGTGTCAATCAAAGCAGTGGGAATTTGAACTCCAACTATGGAAAACCAACGATGAAATTTGGGAGAAATAAGAACAAGCAAGCTCTACCAACCAGTAGCGACTGATTGTTGACAAAGGGCACGTAGGTCCAGTCAATCCCCTCACTCTTATATTCTTCCTGCTCCAGTAAAAAGATGTGCTGGGGGGAAAAGAAAAGCTGATTACAAAAGACTCAAAAGAAGAAAGTGTCACATGGGTTTCGGGGGGGGGTGGGGTCAAGTGGCATGTCATATTGTCTGTGTTACCATATATCTCTTGCTGACAATTTTTTTCACGCTGATGAGCAAACATGTCGTGCATGTATGTTCCACCTGTTTTTGGCACCCCCCTTGTAAATGCCAGACCCTTCACTGATAGACCACATTTGTAGGAAATTAAGCACAGATGGATTTAGTAGCTAAGACTTTAGATGTCCAAGTGGTTTCTTTTTTTCTGAGAGTTAATAGATATTAAATTCCACTCACTTGATTGAAGAAATACTGCAGTTGTTCATTGGCCAGGTTAATGCATAACTGCTCAAAACTGTTGCTTTGGAACTGCTCAAAGCCAAATATATCCAGGATGCCTGGAATGCAATGTCATCAAAGGAATGATCAAATGTTGAAATGAAAATTAAAAAAAATTCTACTTCTATTTGTGTAAAAAAGGGAATCAAAACACGAATATCTACACAGAATTTTTTTTCACAAAACAGTTACAAAGAATTTAATTACGTGATTAGTCTTATGTGCAAAAAATTTCAGAAAAACTGTTAGTGTAATCGTTAAATTGGATAGTTCCGTTGTTAAGATTGTCAGGATCTGCACTTGTGAGGTAGCTAAGAAGGGGAAGGATAGTGATAGCATTTATAAGCGCTAGATGAGGGTCTATATTTCTCACCAATTTCAGTTGTTTCAGACACATGGAGGGATATTTCTGGAGCCAACAGCTGGTTAACTTTATTGACGATCCAACTGAAGAGACGGCCGTACAGCGTCTTAGTCATGGCATCACGAGCATCTAAGGGAGAAAAAAAAAGATGTCAGTCAATCCTCTGCTCACTGGTACTCTGCTACATGTACACATGCATCTTCCAAACTACTCCAAGTTCCACTTTGCCCGACTTGCCCATGCTTTGCTTTAGGATCACTGCTACAGTAGAGGTTGGCAGCACAACCCAAGGAATACTAGACTGATATGCAAATGGTGCCCTCTGATTCTGTCCATTCGGAGTCTTTGCTGATATGACGACGAGTGGTGTTATCCAAAAACCTTCTCTGTGGAACATAGTGTGCTTCTTATGGAGCTCTCTTATATTGTCTGCTCCTTATGTGGGAGGCCAAAGTTTGTGTGACACAATGTAGTTCCGGTTTCACTTCAAAGTGTGTACATGTACATGTCAAATTACATGTTCTAAAAAAGAATCCCTTTTTTTGAAGTAATTAGTAGCAGTATTTATTATTTGGTGTTTTACTAGCCATCGGTGATTTTTACAAATGCTTTGTGAATGATTTTTTTAACGTGTGCTGAGAGTTAGCCATACGTGTAGTTCACCAGCCACTTGTTGGCACAAATGCATTTGTGACAAATAAAAAGAAATTTGTGTCTGGTTGAATGGCACAAAACTACAACGAGAGAGCAAAGGTTAGAGTGAAAACACACAGCAGGCCACTTCTCTTTCTGCTGTCCTCCATGCAGAGCTGGCACTCACTTTGCAGGCCCGATTTACCTGCAACTCCCCCGACTGAAAACATTATGTGGTGGAACTATATATAACCCGTCCTTTGTGCAATTCAATTAAGAGTGAACTCAACCACCTGTACAAATGCAATACGCTATATTAGCGGAAGGCAATACACACTGTTATCAGCCCTGAGGCAATTTTTTGAATGACTGAATTTCTTTGTAGTTTCACTCCGTCTTCTGCAAGGGATATGAACCGATGACCTAACTTGGCAAGCATTTTTTTGTGAGGAACTGTCCTGGTTCATGTAGAATCCAAACCAAGGCCATTCAATTATTTACACGAAGCCAAATGTAATGTTGGTTATTCCATGTTTTGGATCTGAACACCAAACACACTTTTGATGGATCCAGGGCACAGTATTAAAGGCTGTGGGGTACTTTAGGGGCTTTTCAATGAAAGAGTGAAAGATTTAGAATGGATAGTTTCAGAGGCTCAAGAAATTGGAACTTTTCTTGTAAAAAAATACATGTATCTCTCCTGTTACAATATGCAGCTACAGCAATATACAACGTACTGTTATCACAACACATCATCATGTACATGTACTTTGCTATCTCTCCCTAAAGTCTCCTTTAACACCCACACTCACTTTTTCGTTTTTGAATTATTTTAATTCTGCATGCAGTATTTAGGATGTCCTTTTATCGGTCAGAATTTTTCAATTTCCCTCGGCTCAAATCAACTCATTTTCTAACCATTCTGTAACAATGCTTGCTCAATCATTTTTATCACATTCTCGTTATTTAACCCTAACCCCCCAAGGGTTGCTGGTCCTAACCCTCCCCATTCACACCAAGTTAAACACCCATATGGGACTTTGTGCACAGAGGCTGTTGGACTTTGTTTTTCTGAGGTATGCCAAACCCAATGCAAAAGCCAGCTGTCTGGGACTACCAGACCTATCCCCACAGAATGAAACACTTTACTACTGTTTAATTATGTGTGGTTAGGGAAGGTTAGGGTTAAAGTGCTGGGAAAAATGGTATGTTTGGATAGGAAAGCATCTCGAGAAAAACTTCAGCAGAAATTAACAGTGATGTCCACACTTTAATAAATTTAACAGCTCTTGCAATGTTCCCCCCCGGCCAATAAGATGTTAACAGGTGCTGAAAACAAAACAACACGTCCCATGGCCGTTTTCCCCTGAAAGGATAGATTTCATTAGCCCATCAGTTCTGGCCAAAGTGAATGCTGTGAGCCACAGTTCCCTCATCTAAAGGTCTCGTCGTTGAATCAACCCGGGAAGAAAAAAGTCAATGAAATGGATTGTATTTCCCGAGGAGATGATTTTTTTCTTTCCTTCTTCCGCTGTATCGCCTCCATTGTACTGCCCCCCGGGCAGGAGAGTCGATAATTTCCGTCAGGTAGAAATTTTGGATCGACTGCATGATGGGGACTAATGATCTTTTGGATCCAATCATGGCACACTTGACTAAACTCTTTCTATAATGCACAGTGGATTGACCGCTTGACAGCACAGTGCTCAGGGCAAATCTAGGACTTTCTTGAACTAACATTTTTCTTTCACGGTTTGAGTATAACAAAACAATTTCACTCGAGAAACTGCGCTCAAATGTTTCATGAAAAAACACATGATCACAAACAGAATGTTAATAAAACCTGCAACTACCAATGTAAAAACGTCTTTAGCAAAAAAAGGCTGATATACATGTACTTCCGAAAGTTTAAACGTCAAATGCAACAAGAAATTATGATATGGTATGGTATGGTTTCATACCTAATTTGTAAAGAAATCTGGTTAAAGCCAACAAAGTAAGCTCTTACGCAGTACGTCATGAAGACATTCATGTCAACAGAAAAAGACTCGTGCAACTCACCCTGGGCTTGGTGTTTGGTGTAGTTCCTTTGAAACACATCTCCCCTGGCTGAGCTAAGGTTAAAGGTCAAGACTTGTCTGAGCTCCTCGTCATTTATCCCAATAAGTTCCTTCAGTAACCAACAAAAGAGAACACAAAAACAGTTCAAAGAGCCCTTACAACACACGGATCAAGTGTAGTCAAGTGGGGAACAGAAAGGTATACAAACTGTATAATTGCATATAAATTTATGGGATGATTCTTCTCTGGGATGTTGCCAAATATAAGGGACCCCCTTGAGTTTTGTCTCCCATTTATCTGTGCTAGGAAAGTTCAGAGGCACAAAAGAAACACATGACGGTTCCATTGACTTACAGGAGAAATTTCCTGGCTGTATTTTAACGTATACGTGTACCTTCTATCGTCACTAAATTTCAAAAGAACTTTAGAAAAACGGATCACTCGAGGAAAGGAAACCATGCCAGGCAAAAGTAAACCCCTTTGAATTCACTCAATGCATGAACCATTTTGTACTTTGGGACTTGTTAATTTGATGTCCAAAATGCTGCATTCGGTAAATGCCTCATGTGCTTACCACATGCATGACATAGCTATTTCATGTATTTAAAACCGTTTTATGTATAAGAGTTTTAACGTAGCAAACAAACAGACTGCATGACCAGAATATGCTTTAACAAAAATATGGGCGCTGCTAGGATTTTTTTGGGGGGGCCAATAAGTATTTCCGAGGGTGTCAAATCCATGGTATTTTCAACAAACTTAATGATTTTCCTCTCTTTTTAATTTCACTTATTTCTTGTTTTCCCCTTCTTTATTTTTCGTTTTTTTAGGGCGGGAGGGGAACAAGTACCCCTGGACCCCCTCAAGAGGCCCCTACACAAAACATCAATGAATATCATTTTGACTTTGCTTCAAATGTAAACTTACAGCTACTGTTGCAACGGCTTGATCCGATCCTTTAACAAAGGCTGCATCATCCTCATTGGCATCCAACTCAATCTGCCCCATCATCAGCGTCGCAGCCAGGATGGAGTACATCTCGTCTTGCTCCTGGAGATTGTCATAGCAACAAAGCCAAGCCAAGCATTAGGCCATCTCAGAAGTATATTTTAATACCTCACGTAATAAGTAATACTGTGTGAGATTGGGACAGAATGATCCATTATCAAAATTTTAATTCTTTTAAAAAATGACATATTTCTTCCGCTGACCAATAGGTCATATTTCATTTGTTGCACTGTGAGCTGCGTGAAAAAAACTGCCCTGATGCCCTTCTGCTGAGCACATGGTGATTGTTAGCCACATCCCTCATGAGGTATGTAAATCCAAACTGAGGTTTTGTGAGGATCACTGCAAGCTAAAGACATTGGGATATTTAAGGACACTGACGAACTTGGAGAATGTGTCATTAGATTCCTGCAGAAAGGAGACATTCTGAAGTATTCTATTAACACTGCCAACTGTAAACTCCCCTCAATCCTGTGAATGACAGGAAAATGGATGGTCCATGCGGCACAGCTGCATAGTTTCAACCATGTAGTATATTGACAACACAATGTATCTGTGATGTAGGCCCTATACTGTGTTGTTTGTCTCCTATGCTACGGTGCGTCCACGTGTATGAGCACTCCGAATGTGTTAAAACACATACATGTAATATCCAAAGAATGTAACTGTGACTGACAGACACTCTTATTATATGGTGGCGACAAAAATGTCAACAGCTGTGCTGTGTCCCATTTATAGCACAAATGACTGTCTAGGCTTACGTACATGTACAGTGGAAGTTGTACAATACTGAGATGATGTACCCTAACCCTTTAACTGCCGTAACATGAATTAACCTAGTTGAGAAACTGGCCAAAGAACTTGAACTCAAGTGAGCATCAGTGCAGTATTCATCAAATCACTGGTTCACATACTAAATGTAATCGGAAACTGAGGATTGGTGAGGACCAAAGCATGAAATACAAGATTAACATGAAGCATGAGAAGCATGAAGCAGGTGTAAAAACCAAACTCGAATCCTGACAACATCAAGCCCATACGGCTGCACTTTCAAATTATAAATCAAAACTAAAAAGTGAGCACAAGCGAATAAAAATATTCAACTGGCATGTTCCTGCATTCATTTGACAATTAGGACATGAGCATCCGATGACAGCCACAACAGTAACCGATACGGACGGAGAGCTATTGGAGCATACTAGAATTGCAGAGGCAGGGGCGCCAGCACGTCAACGGTTTACCATTGGAGGAGGACGCGCAAACTGTTCAAGTGCTGTCAAGGGTACTTCAGAGGGACCTAGGCTTCCACCTTGGGGGTACCAGAGGAGCTAGACTATACATTTGAGGAAGTGTGGCCTGAGGTTTTTCCTGAAGTTTTTGTGAGGAATGTTGTTTTAGAGTTATATTGTCAAAAGAGAAAAGAATTTTACTTTGGGTGATAACGATATTTTACCTTCAGGTTCATTAATAATTCAGTTCATTTGCAATTTGCTTGTTGAGACAAGAGCAATACCCATACAGGTATTTGTTACAAAGGATAAAAAAATAAAATTGTGTGAATTTCACTTAAATTGAACATGCGAACATAAGTGAATCTGGGTGAAAGGGGAACACAGTAAAAAAAAATAATAAATCAGTCATAAAGCCCCAAGTAAAATGGTTCAACTTCATGAAGCTACTGAGAACATCTATACGTGTAGGCTTACTAAGCACTGAACATATTCTCTGAGTAAAAACAGACTACCAGCTACATTGTTACACTCTGCATATCAGCTGGCGCTGGATGCCAGCTAAAGATCACTTAGCACATAATTTTTGGAAGCAGTATTTCAGTTTAGCACAGGACATGAAATTTAATTGAGCCCAGGGTCCAATTTACTAGTACTGATTAACAGTTACATTTATTTCATCGGGGGGGGGGGGGGACATGTTGTAGACATTGTTGGTGGGTATAGGTTGCAGGATTCCTTACAACTTACCCCCTCCCCATCTTCCCCCACCATCAGTTTGTTTACACAAATTTATCCCCTCAAGGCTTATTTAAATTTGTGGTCAGGGCCTAGCTGGCCAGCCTGGGTCTACCCTTTAATGTTAATATATTCATGATAACACTGACCGAAAAGCTGGTTTAAATGCTCTATCAACATTTGCTTGGAAGTACATTCATTGAATACACATGTAGTTTCTCCTGCTGATAAAATGTTCGCGATGCAAACGCCATGTGCTAATAAATTAATCTCTTCTTTGAATGTTATTTTCTTCTGCTCTAGTTTTCTTCGTCCTCTGCTTTGGGTAACAGTTATAACAATACTAAAAAGTATAACAAAAGAATAATAAAGCCACATAGTTTGTACATACTGGAGTAAAATTCATGTTTATTATTGGTAAGCGAAGATACTCCGATAAAAAATCATGTCCAGTTCAAGGTGTGTTGTGTGTTGAGCAATCCAAGGTTACTCTTCTGGAAATGATAAACTGCTCTTGTATGGCCACCTTTGTTGGCCCTCAGGCCAAATGTAAACAGTCCTTCACGGTTAAAGAGTTTCTAATAAACATTTTTCCAGATCTCTGGAGGACAAATGCTGAGCTTCTTGCCGATGAAGTAAATGGTTCCCACTCACAACTTGTTCAGAATGAGTTTTGTGATTTGATATAGCATGAAGGTTGTGCTTACTAGAGTGAAAGATGGCCGCTTTAAAAAAATTTCACGGCAAGGATATAACAATTAATAACTGTGTGTGTGTGGTAATTTAGACTTGAAAGTCACTGATTTAAGCAACTTTTTCTTCTGGGGTTCTGTGCTCACTAATAAACTGTTTCCATTAAGTAGGTGGATTCTCCGTTATCACAAAATCTGCTGTTAAGCAATGGTAGAAAATCAAAATCCAGCAAAGAACTGTAGTTGGACTCGGGCCAGTACAAAAAGGTTCACATTAAATCAGCGCTACTTGCAAGTGAAAAAAGCTTTGATTCTTTACCTCGTCCAGGAAGCCCACCAAGTCCATGGCATTGTTCAATTCTGCCAGCATCTCCTTCATTCTGGCTTGCTTCGTTGATGCACTGCTGGGCCCATTAGTCAGGTAACTGTAACACAAAAACCAGCTGGTAAGACTTCCAAGGTCCTCCACAATCCTCACAAGCACACTTGAGAAATTCAAGCTTAGGCTGCGTCTGACTGACTTGGCTTGAAATTATACACGACTCTATTGGAACTGGCTGAAGCCACTGTCATAGACATGTCATTTCTTGCTGCAGCAAGGTACAATGTAATTCAGACATGGCCTAACTGGCAAATGTAATCACAAAATCATTTTGTATCTGAAGCAGTGTGAAGCATCTGCGAGTGGGTAAGATGTTTCAATGATAGAATGTTGCTGCAAATTTGCAAGTTTAAATAATTTAAAGATGTTACCTGTCTACAGAGGACCTGATATTACCAACTCTTGTAACTACTGATGTCAGTCTCCCAAATACAATGAAACTATGCATAAGTTGCATAAATAACAAACACATTCCAAATCATCACTCCAGATTAAACTAAAACAAAACCAAACAGATAAACGATACTTTGACACAAAACACATGTACCTTCGAAAAGGGTCTGGTCACGGATTTTTTTGAAGTTTTTAATTACTTCGGGAATGTACTACGTGGTCAAATATCAATAAACTATTTCATCCTTACTCACCTGTACTTGTTGGCAACTTGCATCTTGTACTTCTTCTGTTGTTCAGGAGACAGTCCAGCTAGCATGTAGTAGAAGATGTGAAAGTTCTCTTCTCCTTTGTTCTGGAAGACAACCCTCGACTTCTCCAGCAGGTATTCTGATATCTTTGCGCCCATTACTGCGAGGAGCAAACATCCATTGCACTTAGTCTAGTCAGCCAAGTACAAATGAGTTAGTTAATATGCCAGTTTTTACGATTATCAATTGGAGCCTCTGAAACCTGTCACACATTTAAGTATGGTGAGTACATCGATCACACCGACTCCAGAAAGATACTGCCCAACTTTCATGCTAAGCTGCATTTTGTTATAAATTTGTTTATCATACACAACTTGGAAAGACTATTCTCTTTGTGCTTTTTCCTAAGGATCTGTTCATGCACATGTATTCATGTTTTAAGTCTTTTACCTTTTCCCTCCTTAAACTTGAGCTGGATGTATTTCCCAAACCTGCTGGAGTTGTCATTCATGGTGGTCTGTGCATTGCCAAAGGCTTCCAGAAGGGGGTTCACCTGCACATAGAATCCAATCAATGATTTTTTTAAATACTGAACTCATCAACTTGATCTCAGCTATTGTCAGTCGTACATGTGCCTTTTCTGTAATTTCCCTGGACAATATCTGACCATTATTGATAGAAAGTATGATACCGGCAAAGTGAATAAGTGTTGCTGCAGTTCTAAACTAATCTTCGTCCTTTATTCACAAATGCATTTTTCTTACTAACAATCCATAAACCCAAATTTCTACCAACCTGGAGGATTTGTTGTTCAAGTTGTGACTTCCCTTTGCACAGCTCAATTATTTGCTTGATGATGAATTTGGTGCTTTCCGTTTTGCCAGCCCCACTCTCACCACTAGCAATAAAGGACACAACCAAAATGTATTGCATATTTGTTAAAGAAAACATCAAATTCCATACCTGTATTTTTAAGATTCATGATTGGGAAACAGTCATTGTCTTCAAAATAATGATTACTTTAGCATTTTTCATTAAGCGTGTATACAACATCCAGTCAACTCTAGTCAAACACAGTTGCAGGGATCAGACAAATTTCTCTGCTGTGACCAGGACTTTGTTATAAAAGAAGTGAGAAATGAAGAACACATATGAAATTCAAAAACTTGGGATTTGTGGAATTTGCTCTTCATAAAAGTATTCTTTTTAAACAGTGTTCTTGACTTCATTTACTTCAAGTAACCATTCTGAACCAGCTCAATACCCGGTACGTTTTATATATGTCTATTTATGACAGGACTTCAAATACCACTGACCATTACTTAACATGGGATTCGATACATCAAAATCTGTTGACACTTCAGAGTACCAAACTGGATTATTGCATTGTGTTGGATGTTCACAAATTTGGTAAATCTCACTCAATATACTGACAGATTGGTTGCTGTGGTTTGCCTGCCGTTAAAAAAACAGCTCAGGTCAATGTTTTATTAGGCAGGCCTATATCACACGTTACAAAAGGTCATGTGAATGAGGCTCAGTGGAATACACAAAAACGAATCAAAGTACAATTTCGTGAAAATATGAAAGAGAAAACTGGCAGTATACACAATTGTTTCCTGCAGAGTGAACTTGAACCAGGTCATAAAACACAGATTTCTCTATGGCCTTGCAATGAAGCAGTTGATATTTTTGGTTCAGTGCAAGGGGAAACACTGTGCAGTATACATGTACATGTACATGTATGCACAAATGCATGATGAAGTCCAAAGGTTACATGATGTATCTCCCTGACTAATACTCGCATGAATCAGCTCTTGATAACACAGGGGTAAATTGCAATAAGCCCACCTACATGTACATTGTTTTCTTTATCCCTTCAAAAAATTTTAAAACAGCAAAGATTGGTAGTCTTCACCAAATATTCCATGCATGAAATGCCATGAATACAATAGGACTTGTGATGAACTACATCTCAAACCAAACACATCTGGAATCGGCACGAACGACGTCATCTGCAGAAACAAATCTCTCTACACAGTTTCCTTCGATTACTTTGAGCGAGGATCAAATGATTCTGCAAGCAACAGGTGTTGTATCGTATGTCTCTTGTCCCATACAGTTCAACCCCCTGGGGCCTCCTACGGAGTAACCTTACCTGATAACGATACACTGATTCTTTTTGCCGCTCACTGCACTGCCGGTTAGCATGGACTGATACGCTGAATCCGACACAGCAAAGATGTGCGGCGGGTTATCGACCCTCACTTTGTTTTTGTACATCTCGGCATGCTGGAACATAACACAGCAAAACAAAATTGAGCTCAAACCCCAGAAGAATAAATAAGGATGAAGTTTACGGGTTTGTATTATTTACTGTAATGTCAGCATTGCAACTGAAACCAAACATGCCATTATACCGACCTTCAGGCAATGGTACTTACTTTCTGGCCATAAATTCCAAGATCCCGAAAGGGATTGACAGCAACAAGGATATCTCCCACATATGTCTGGAAAAAAAAGGGTAAAAAAGAATAGTTGCTTTGAATCATTCCTGTACATGCACATAAGACTTGATGCACAAAATTGCATGTACATGTAATTGACCTAAACTCAGAAGTATCCATCAACTCAAGGGCGGATCTAAAGCCAAACTTGTTGGGACAGGGGGCCAAAACTTGGTTGGGGCCTAAAGATTAGGAAATTGTTCACGACAGTAGCTTTCTGGTACCGTAGGTGAGGCTACATTTTTAAAAACAATTTCTGAAAGATGGGAAAGAAACTGATCGAGAAAGTTGTGGTTGATAACTTGACAGCGGCACAAACACATCACAGCATACATGTAGTTCTTATGGAAGTAGAATCTTAAAAGTTTGCTGAAACAATGTTACCGGAAGTTGGAACCATGCCTCTATCAATAAATGGTAAAACCAGAATGAAAGCGCGACAAGCTCAGTGGTTTCCCTACCAAGTACATGCCATTGTACCAATCGTGCATGCTGTGTAACTAACAGGCCCGCTACGTATTGGTACGGGTTCGTATCACTATGGACTAGTAGTAGCATCCAATATTACAAGACTGATCCAACTCACATAGATTTTGTCGTGGTTGTATCTGTGTTTCAACTCGCCCAGGAGGATTTTCTCATCCAGGTTCCCAAGCGTGGCAAGGTCGTCCGTCTGCCCGATCGGCGCGTCCGTACTGGCCATGTTGCCAACTCCACGGGGCCCAAAAGTAATCTAAAACGTCTTCAAAACTTGTGTCGATTTGTCCGTGCCGGTTTCACTCAATAGATCTAGATCTATGGTTTATAAGTGCTATCGGTGTCTATCAGATAAGTGCAGGTGCGCCTAACTTATGCTACATGATTTTGCGACCAAATACTGTGGTACGTGGTATGCACGCATGACGAGTTAAGGTATGGGCAGGTGTACAGAAATAGATACTAGGTGTGGGCGACGCGTCAACAGTGTGCCGTGTTTATTGAACCGTATCTTGTCGAATGCTATTTTTAGGCTATTGTGCTCACCTGTATGAGACAGGAAAGGCAGTTGGTTCAGGGTCTCGGTGATAATGATACGCTGGCTGTAATTGGACAAGCTCTTCATTACCGTCAATGTAAACATGACGTCGCAGAAAACTTAAGTTTGCCGAAGTGATGAATTTTGTTGTTTGTCCCATATACCCAGGAGGTAACCGTGTTCTTGGAAGACTCTGCGTAATGTCCAACGAATCGTCCAAAAATAATGCATTATTAATATAACATACTTGATATCATACATGTATAATTATCAATATAAAATCGAAAGAGCTGCGTAAAAACGGACAAATCCACCTAAATTGTCAAACTTTTCCCGAGTAACATTGGCTGCATCCGAATCTCTCGTCTAGAGCTAGGTCTGGGTATTCGTTCCATTGGAAATGCGTGGAGACGCGTAGACAATAGACCTAGCCGTAGCTCTGCAAGCCCGTTTTGGAGACGGCTTTAGACTTTTCAATATGTGGACGTGATTGGTCGGTAGTACCGAGTACGTCCAAACTCCCACTAAGGCGATTTGTGGGGTCCAAGTTACTTGGACTTCAAAAGATCGTGCTCTCTGGCTTAATACTCTCCGAGTGGGGACTTTTCTCAGTAGCTTTGCCAAACCTTTCAAAAAAGGTTAACGACCAAATATTTCGGGGGCCCAAACATGTTGGAATTTTTTTATGTAGCCTTAATCGCCTTTCTCGGGTGAAGCTATATTTTGGATCGTTTTGTACACTTTTGGAATAGAAATGGAACAGACGAAATCTGTAAGACCTTTTGGGGAGGGGGCATGATATGCATTGATCCCATATCTACCCTTGACCTCTTTGGGTAGTAAACTCAAGATCTCACAAAAGAAAATGCCAGAACATTCGGCAAAAATGAGGAACCAAAACCTGTTTTATTTTTGTTTTATATCAAGTTCTGTGGGACCATTAACATCGCACCCACATTGTACTACCAAAAACTTTTCATTTCAAATTGGTCAAAACAAAATGCAACGTACACGAAAAAGAAACACTATAAACCCAGATTTTCAGTGATAAATATTTTTATTAGATGCCACCGATGCTCTGTGACAGAAAAGCTTGAAATGTTCTTTGCATATTATTTACAGTTTTACTAAACTCTAGCAATCTACACAATGACTTCTCATTCGGTACAGCTAAATAGAGACATTACCTCTGCTTCTTTCGGTTTAATGTCAATCAAAAATGGATATGAACCTTACGCAATTTCTGTCCACAAAAGGCCTTTCAAAGGCAGGGTTATGAATAAACCAGTTAAAGTTTTCAATCTTTCTGTTCTGTTAAGACATCTGACTGGAAACGAATCTTCAGGACCAAGGAAATAAATCTCTGTCAACTGGGTCAACAAGTTTGGTAGATTCAAGAGTTTGCTGTATTCTTAAAGGTGGGTGGAAAGTTGATGGTTATTTCTACGAATGTTCAATACGGTTGCCTTGCGAGAGGGATAAGTTCCCAATTTGTTTAAACAGGGTGTGAAAGCTTTATATCACAAGTACATAGGGTTTTAAAGCTGATACTGTGACATATCTTTTCAGACGGATAAAATGCACCAAATCTGCCACAAATACAATATTTCTTACTTGTCTCTGAAATTTGATGAGTACAGCCAGCAGCCATTTCACATGAAAGAGTATAACATGAAATACAACAAATAAAGCTTACGCAAATACTCTTGAAATAGACACAAGGTTTTGAAGCCATGTTGATGCTTTGAAGCTTACTGTTCACTTAAACATGCTACAAGCCACAAAACAGTTGTATACTAAGCCATTTCTGATCCAGCACAAGCAACAGGGTAGTGTTAGTGAAACCATGCACTCCAAAAAAGAACTGTATGCACAATTATAACAAACTGAGTTATCTACATGTAACATTTAACATTTAAGCATCTCACCGAAACATTTATGTTTTTTGATTTTAAGTACAAAATAAGTACAAGAGAGTCAATACAAAGAAAGACAAAAATAAACATCTTCAATTTCAATATCTTACAAAACGAAAAGGTACTTTTCCGTTAAAGTTAACAAAACCTAGTAACAAGAACTGAGACTTCTGTATCATTATTCCACAAAAGCAACTAAGTCTGTGACAGTATTGCATATCTGTCAAAATAAATACAAATCACAGACAATACAAGATAAAAACAGTTGTCACAAAATAAGCACCAACAATTCCGATCTATGAAAGGCACGGTCTGTTGTTTTGTATCTTACAGATCAAAACCAGCACCAATGCAGACCAAACCAAAAAAACCCCAAATAAACAGTTACAAGCAAATGGTGCTTCGTAATCTAATCAACACCACGACTCCATCGACCAATCAGATCAGAGGGGTAGCTCAGAAATACCACAACAGGTGGAGCCACTTCAGGCATAAGGACAGGCCCTAAAAACATTTAGCATGTAGCAACATTTAAACAGAGATCTTGACAGAAAGTTCCATGAACAGCCAAAAACAAACAAACAAACAAACAAACACCCCCAACACCCCAACAAACAAACAAACAAACACCCCAACAAACACCCCAAAAAACCCCAAAATGACTAAACACAACTTTCAGCCTATGGTTTACTGAAACACAAAGCATAATCTACCCCAACTTCGGTTTAATTAAAATGTAAATTTCGGAAAATGTGGAGAGCAGGTTACTTACAAGAATTTGGGCACAGACTTTGAAGTTGCCCTTTATCCAAGATGAATAAATCCCCCACAGCACATTATCGTTTGCACTTCTGTCATGAATACTTGTTCCATAGCACACCAAAAGTACACAATAAATTTTACATAAACCACCTTCCTGGCCTTAATATTAAAAACAAAGACTAACAGAAAAAAACAGGTTCTAGCAAAGATACATCTCATATTTACAGCATAAATAACATTTCAGTTGTTTAAAGATAGGTACATGTGATATTGTTGAATGAGTTGAATACAGTGCTTCTCAGCAAACCAAGGTATTTCTAGCTCTACACACAGAGCAAGGAACTTGCTCTATTCTCTAAATAATGTCTTTAATTTTCATTATACAGAGAGAATCGACAGTGACTAAAACTAAGATGTGAATAATAATAGTTAAAAATACAATAAATATCTTAATAATACAACAGACTGACATGCACAGAGTGACTTGGTTGAATGTGATCCTCTTCAGGACGATGCTAGACAAAAAACATCCCCAAATTTGTAATCATGAATATTTATGAGATTAAAACTGATAAACGCATGTTTTTTCAAACAAATTCCGGAACCACTATTCCACAAAGCATTACAAAAATGATAAAAATTGCCTTCAAGAGAGACAGTTGTCAAGGCTTAGTTCTTTCTGTGTGGGGGTTACAGAACTGATTTCAGGGTCAAAAGGCCAACGCACCTTTCGGTATATACAAGTACATAGTCTTTTCACAACAAATAATAGTTTAAACATCAGCATAAGCCACTTAAAATGTTGGTGGTTAAAAAGTAAACGGACATGTTCTTCTTTCCTTAATTTATTCTAAGGAAGCTTTCACAAGAAATTCAAGACTGAAATTCAAGTATCCCAATTTGGTTGTTAGAACTTCACTGGATGGAAACGGGAAAAAAAAGGGTAAAAAGTTTCAGTCAATCTCTTTGAGACTGCAATTGCTTTGACTTGAAAAGATTCTAAACACAAACATACTGGATGACAGTGCATTCCTGGTAATCGAGGCCTCTCGAAGGCTCAAGGTACAGTACATGTGGCGAACCTATAAGCTATAATTTTACTGAAAAAGTGGTCCTCCATTAAAAATTATTATTTCACAACATTTGATTTTGAAAAGTGTCCTATTCCATCCTCTTTAACATTGCAGCTTTACATAACTTATCAAGGAAAGCCACAGGTGGCATATACATCTATGATAAATTTCAAAAAATCATACCGTATAAAGTCAATGAGGTAATCAAGGCATGAAAAATTATGCATATTCATGATAACCATTAAACAGTACGAAAACAATACAAAGCCTGGTTGTAAAAAAAATCTGAAGTACCTATGTATGTACCCATAAAATAATTTCTTCATTCAATACATAATGAAGTAAAACTGTTTCTCTTTAAATAGTACTTTTTTCTGTGGAATGAAAGTGATGATACTTTGATTAAAATAAACTACCTCAGCAACCCCTGACACTTTTTAAGCATATTTGGTCAATTCAGTGAATGTAAAAATATGTATGGGGAAAATAGGAAAGTAAACCATTAACCTTCCGAGTGAACATGCTGCAGATCTTGATTTTTTTTTTTAAATCAACCACCAAAACAATTAAGCAGTTTTAGGACATGTAATCAGAAATAGGTAGCAATAACATGTTGCATTTACGAAGGTGATGATTCCCTAGTTATGATACCTTTGTGTAACGCCACTTACATAAAGACATGGCTCCAACAACTTGTGACATTTTGAAAAGACACTTTTGACACTTTCTTACAATAATTTCTTTACGTAACAGAAGCAACAAATCAGTGTATCCGCTGAAAATAGGGACTTTAACAGATGTAAGCCCCGCCCACTCTCCAATGCCACACTACATGCTCCAGCTGTGTACATCATGCGCACGTGCCCACATGTTGGACTTCAGTGCACGCTTGTTGGACATAAAATCACAGTTTGGTCAGAGAACAATGGGGTGGGGCTTAATGGATCAGTCTATGGGTATATTTTAAATCACCACCTTGCATCACTTCCACAAAACTCAGTACAGATATTTGACATTCACAGAATATCTGGTGTCACTTTAAATGTGAAGATGAAGTTAATATACACGGTAACTCCTCAAACTTTGCTATTAACCCACGAGAAAAATATTGTTTTAAGAACTATTTAGGCGTATCACATCCCCCCAATGTTATTCTACGTGAAATTATTTTCTACTGTATCTCTAAATTGATACATTTCTTTCATGTACAAGAGATGACTCAAATTGTGTATCTTTAAGCCCACTTCACAAATGTTTGTCGACTGTTAATTACATCAACACCAAACCCACATGCAATTTGTGTAACCCACAGTGCATCTTACAACAGATTTTGACATGCAATTACTACTATGGTACACCTATTGACTGTGCCGGCACGTCAACAAAATTTGGTGCAATGCACTTTTGGTTAGAACACAGCTGGCAGGCTTTTCAGGAGAACATCTTTTATAGACAGTGTGTCTGAAGCACAAAACGTGCTACAAGGCTCCTCCCTGAAACCTGGACGAAACACATAATCTTACCGCATACACACCTGTTCCTACATGTACACATGTGTATGATGAAATACTTCTCTGTGGATTGTTTTCACTTCTATCGTACAATTCCCACAAACCACTTTGGTCCAACATCTTCAATGTTGGGTCATGTCTGAAGCAAGCAGTTGTTATCTACAGCTTTTGCTACAAGCATTCACTGTGTTGTGCCAATGATGAACACACAGCTACATAATGTCCAATTAAAACATGGCCCGGAAACAAGGATGGCAGGCTGCACAGAACCAAGGGACATAAGCAGAGAGCTAACGATCTGTGCATCAGGTGTGTTAGAAATAAGCACATGGCATGCCTCTGTGAGTCTGCAAGGAGTCCTTATGTCTCTTAATTAATGTCTGATGAGAGATTGTGGGATTTGTTGCTATGACACATGATCCCTGCTAATCCAATCAAAGTAAAACATACATGTACCTTGGGCAGAAAACTGTTCTGAATATTTTTGTTCTTAATTTCTGGTTTCGAATTTCTAATTACAAATACCCACAAAAATATGTTCTCTTCTGATGTTACACATAATTTACAGAATGTTGATTTCCTTTAAAGCCAGTTTGTCAGAGGTTTTCACTTGACAGGTACACGCCGTCAAGGACTTTTCTTTGCTGAAATGTTCACGATTCGTGTTTTGAGTCTTGCATTTCAAGGCTTTGTGCATGGACTTCCAACGGCCAGTAAACACAAGAGAAATGGTGATTCATTGATGTAAGCGCATGGTGTCTTCTATAGGTGCAATGATTCACAATCTGCTGATTTAAAGGTACCACCTACACAGCTAAGTAAAGCTATACCCAGTACTGGCTCCTTTTAAGTGCAGGTTTCTGGGCTGGACAGAGGTCTATCACTTCTGGCTTGTAAGCATCCCATTTATTGGAAGTACTGTGGCTTGAGCCACCAGAATGTACTGTTCCATTGGAGTTCAAGCTTACAAATGATGTGTAACTGGGTGACGGGGGTTTGCCAAGCGGAGTCACCGTAACCTGGGGAACAAAGGAACCCGGAATGGGTAACGGTCGATTAAGAGTGACCGGGGGTGTTCCATTCAGAGAACCAGTGCTGTGGTGATCTGGGCAGGCACCTACAACCTGCACCGTGGGCATAAGACCACTCTGCCCGGGACCAGCCTGAGCACCTGGGTACGGACCCACATCTGGTTCCGGATATGGACTCTCCCGGCCTGACATGTGTTTCTTTCCCTTGTTGCGGGACCTCCAGATGAGGACCAGCAAGACGAGGATGATGCAGATAATAATTGCAATGACAGGAATGATGATATATATTGGATTGAATCCAGAAGGCTGAAATGACTTGGCGTTAGGGGTGTTTCCACTAGGCACTACCGTAGTTGCCACCTCTTCAGTGAAAGGGAATATCTGGTCACCATGATTGATGCCAAAATTTATGGTGTTGATCCTACGTGTTGGTGTAGGAGGAGCTGTTGTCAAAGGAGCATCACTGGTGGTGGAAACAAGTCTTGGGGGTACAATCTTTACTTGAAAGGTGAGCATCACAGGTTGGACCATCTTCCCACGGAGTATAAAGACAAAACTGTCATCCAGGGAGTCATTCACGCCCAGATTCAGCAAATCAGCAATGTACAACACCCTCGTACTGACAATGTCTGAGTATGGAAATTCCGAAATGGCAAGACTGGATGTGGAGTTGAGGACGAGGCCTCTCTTGGGTGATTCCATTATTTCAATTTCAAGCCCTCCGCCAACACTGCTTGCAAGTTCAGTTGCATTGAGATACCCCGGGGTCAGAGCAAGTGACTTGCCAGTTGTTATGTTCATGAGTGTCAAGGTTACCATCGGTTTAACAACCACAGTCAGGTTGAGATCTTCTGGCAAGTTAAAGTCATCAAACACTGTGAGCTTTATGAGGTCCATGTTTGAGGAAAAGTTGGTCTGAGAATATTGCACCCTTCCGTCATTCAGCTGTGCTTGAGAGAATGAAGTACTGGCGACACTGTCGACGAGAATCTCTCCATACTCAGGCGAAGTGGATATGTTGTACCTGATCTTATCAGCATCACCATTGGTCGTCACATTAAGTACTGTGGATGGGACAACAACCAGAGAGTTTCCTTGATTTAGAGTTACATTTCCTGTGACAGTTACGGTTAGTGTCACTGGTTGCACAATGATACTGAACTGTTTTATTTTATTCGATTTTACACGGGCTCCATCGGTGAGACGGAAGAGAAATCCTCCAGACACGGCACCGCCATCATGTACAAAAGTTATTTCTCCATCATTAATCTGTTGCTGAGTGAACTCCTGAATTACAGTGCTCTGGTCTGAGGTCAGGACAAGTTTGCCATTTGAGGGGTTGCTCAGAAGCTCATACCTGATTTCATCAGGGGGATTGTCTGCATCTACAGTATTTAGGACTTCCATTGTCAGACTTTTGTGAGAGCCTTGGATGATGGTCATACTCAAGGCTCGGGTGAGGACTCTGAGAGGCTGATCATTGATAGGGTCAATGGTTATCAAGAACTGTCCAGAGTAGGCCACCAGCTGCTCGGTATTTCCAACAGTGGTTGCAGTGACAGTGAAATTAAACAAATCCTGTCTCTCCTCAGAGTGATCATGGATGTACTGAATGCCATCTCCAACAAGGTCGTCCTGCCTGAAGGTCGAAAATGCAGTGATATCTTGGTTTGATTTCTTCAGCACTCCATGGCTTGGCAAACTGACGATGTTATACTCAAACACCCACTCGGTGGCTCCAAAATCCTCAACCAGAGCTGCAATGTTCAGTTGCTTGTCTGTAATGGAAATAGTCCCTCCCTCTTGGACCTCGATACCCAAGTTCAGGACAAGAGATGGTTCTGTTGTTGACATAACTGTGGTTGGACTAAGAGTTGTAGGCTGTGTTGTTGTTTCTTCTTTTACCCCAATGGATATTTCAAAGCTCTGGTCAGTCAGATTCTGGGAGAGTGGTAATGTCACACTGAATGTGAACTGGTCTTCCGTGACAGGGGAATCTAATATCTGCTTGTAGGCAACAATGTTTCTGTCAATCTGTCCCTGTGTGAATGTTGAAATCTGGGCAAAACTTAGGATCTCTCTGTCAATCTCATCTCGATCCAGGATCTCAACAATGATGCCATGCTTGGGAGCCTCTGTGATGACGTACGTGATTGGCCTGCTCAGGTTTGATTTAGGCTCCTCCTCATTGGTCACAACTTTCAGGTGCTCTGCTGTGATTGGTTCAATGGAACTGGGCGCTACGTACAGTCTGGTGTTGGTCTCCAGAGAAACCAAGAGGGGCCGAGCTGTGATGCTGAAGATCTGCTGATTGGTGGAATGGACCCCATCACTGACCGAGAAACGAAATCCGCCAGTGTTTAAACCTGGATACACATGAAGATAAAGTAAACAAAGACATTAACAGCCTAGCATAAATTTTTAAACATCCTCATACCTTCAGGAGGGTGCATCACCCTTGCAGGTGCACAGCAGTCATGGGCATTGGTAGGTTTTTTTCTAAAGGGGGGAGGGACAAAGTGCCATTCTCCATTATTGATGACAGTGGTTACACACTGCTTCGAAAGGACACAACAGTGGGAAAGGTCTGTTGGGGTCATCACTCAATGGTTTCAGATTGTCTTTGTTGAACAGGGCTGCAGAGTGTGATATTAACTAGGTTTGGAAAATACAGTTACATGTAGGTCAACTCAAGCATTTCTTGGTACGAGTAAAGTAGAAGTAAAATACATATAGTTGGGTACATACCTGACTGAATAAAGATGATATCTCCTTTGTTCAGATCAGACTGCGTGAAACTCAGCACTGGTGTGGTCATATCAGGAAGTTTGATCATGTAGCCATTTGTTGGAGTAGTTAGGATGTACGTCAGGCTCTGGTCATCTGTGTCCAAGTCCACTGCACTCAGGATGTCTGTGGTCAATTTAGCCTGTGTCCCAATGAAAATGGTCAGGCCTTCGTTGGCAGTCACTTCTGGTCTCTGATCATTTACTGGGGTGACTGTAATGTTAATTGTATATGGATGGCTGGATTTGCCAGTGTCTGAAGAACTGGCGATGATGGTGAAACTGTCGTTTACTGTATCACTACCATCATGTACAAAATATATGAATTCGTTGGTGATGTCACGCGTGCTGAAACTCCTGAGGCGTTCACCAGCATTGCGAGTTGTCTCCAGGAAGCCATGAACAGGTTGCTCCTGAATGGCAAAGTCAAAGTCCTGCTTTTGGTAGTATGGGTGTGCAATTTGGATGATGTCACTGGTGATGGCTTTGGAGCCCCCTTCAGGCAGGAAGAAATCGGCCACTGTAAGGGGGACTACAGCCGGTACAATCTCCACAATAAATGTGAGGTTGGACACTTTGACAAATCCATTGTCCACTTCAAATGAAAATTGGTCCAATCCCATCCCAGGTCCAGTTTGGACATACCGGACGCGGTTGCGGTTGACATCCAGCTGGGTGAAAGTTTTCAACTGTTCTCCAGCTTCTCTCCGTCCTCGTCTGGTAGGTGGAAGGAACTCATTTGATAGCTGTAGCATGCCAAACTTAGGAAAGAGAGTAACAGTGAAGATAATTTCGATGGGCAGATGGTTGGGATGGGTGACTCTCAGATGGGAACGTTCAATGACAACGGCCTGTCCCTGCTCAACAGCAAGGGGCTTCAGCTGTTCCACTTCAGGAGGCTCTTGGTGGCTCGTCAGGTATATCCGGATATTGAAAACTCCTTCTACTGCCATGCTCTTTGCACGGACTGTGAAATTGAAACTGTCCATCATGGCTGTGCTGTTGTCGTGGTGATAAACAACCCTTCCTGCATCCAGGCCCTCCTGATTAAACATCACTGCAGGACTTCCTCTGTAGAGCAGCTGCCCATGAGAGGGCTGGGACGTTATCAGGAACTCGATCCTCTTGTCCTTTATACCCATGTTTGTTTCAGCACTGAGGTTGCAGGAGGTAAGGACAACCGATGAGCCACGGGAAATCCGCAGGCCCGAGTTATTCAGTATACCTACAAATGGCTCAGAGGCCTCTATATCCAGGAAGTCTGAGGTGTAGCGACTGCGGTCATCATCAAGCACAAAGAAAAGCATCCGGCCAGTAAGGACATCCCCTCGTTGCCTGAATGCAATTAAACCATCTTTCAAGTCCCTCTGAGTGAACTCATAGACAGTGGATTCATTCCCTGCATAAATCAGGTCACCAACATCAGTGTTTTGCCGACGGTATTCAAGGTTGTCATCATTGAAGTCTTCATCCCCGTCTGCAGCAAGAAGGTTCTGGTCTGTGAGTGGAGTCTTCCCATTCCTCACAACTTTGAAGAGGCGGTTGACAACCACCTCAGGCTCGTGATCATTTTTTGGAAGGATGTTGATACTGACGACTCCTTCATGGTGGAGACTCCGTTTCCTCCCAGACAGGTCAGTGAATGATGCAGATGCTGTATATTCAAAGTTGTCGCTCTCAGTTTCTGAGTCATCGTGCCTGTATCGAAGTAAGTTATTCATCACGTCAAAGTTAAGGAAGATTGTGACATCATCAGTGCTGACCTCTAAGGAACTAGGCTCCGCCAAGATTAGCCTTCCATGCTCAGGAGGCTTTGTGATTGTGTACACAAAGTTTGTGACATTATCTGCAGTCACAAAAAATTCATCTGTTGTGACAATGACAGTCCCTCCTTCAGAAACAGTCAAGCCATTGTTGGTTACTTCTAAGTGTCGGACATCTGGTATGTATGCAATGCTAAATGACGCTACGGAACTCTGTGCATTTACAACTGACACTTGGAAAAGGAATGTATCATTCAGTGCTTCCTCTTCAGAGGGATCAAGGACATAGCCGACCTTTCCAGCAATGATGTCATCCTGTGTGAAAAATCCTCCAGTTGGAATTGGGCCCATGGACTGCTTGACCAGTTGACCTCGACTGGGAGATCGGATGACTGTAAAGGTCAGGGGTGACAAAGAGGTAATGGGAAGTCTCACTTCAGCGGCAAGGTTTTCTGATGTGATGACACCCTGTCTTATTACGTTCAAAATCATGCCAGTGTTGGTGATCACCTCCACAGATGTCACAACAATTTTCACCGGGAGGCTGATGTCGATGCTGACGTCCTCGCTTGAAGCCGACAAACTTATTCTGTCATTCCAAATGCTTCTCTGCTTATCAGTGACAGTGGCAGCATACTGGATGATCCCATCAGCAACATCAGCCTGGGTGAACTCAGAGATGTCTGCCCCAAAGTTGTGCAGTTCCAATCGCTGTAATCTGCCATATCGCAGAGAGTCAGTTAATCGGTAGCTGACTGTAAACTGACCCTCTGGGTCGTTGGTAGCGACATGTAGCTCCGTGGGGGTGATTTGAATCACAGATCCTGGGTTCAACCTCAACTCTGTTACATTCAGGATGGACAACTCCAAAGGAATGACCTCAATTCTGAATGAGTAGAGTGGGCTCTTCTCCAAACCGTCAAAGATTCGGATCACAATCCGTGACTTAGTATTGGGTCCAGTGTGCACGTAGGATATTTGTTCATTGTTGATGTCTTCCTGTGTGAAGGAGACAATACTTTCTCCTGGATTGCTGATCGTTTGGAAGTAGCCAACATTCGCTTGCTGGTTGACTATGGTGAAGAGGAGCTCACTGGGGTCACTGTCAGGGTCAATGGCCTCAAGAAAGGAACTGTGTATTGGCTGGACAGAGCCTTTTATCATTCGTAGAGTGGCATCATCAGCAAGAGATATACTTGGAACATCATTGACTGGGATAATGTTTACCTCCAGTGTGAAGTTCACAACACCTTGAAGCACTTCAGGAATTTCAATGTTCCTTCCGAGGATCTCTACCTTGATGGTCAATACATCATAGAAGTTTTCCGAGCCATCATGAATATAGAAGATCTTACTCCCCATCAAGTCCAGCAATGTAAACACATTGGAATCGTCATCCCGTCGAAGAACCCTGTTCTCAATGCGACCGTGCAGAGGACGCTTTGCAATCAAGAGCAGAAGCTGAGATTCTCGGAGGCCGTAGGAGCGTAATCTAAGATTTAAGTGAATGTTTTCTGTAGAGATGACACTGCGGCCTCCTTCTTCCACTGTGAGAGGCATCAGTGAGAAAGCCTCTTCAGGCAATTCGGTATCCATGCTGATGGGGAAAACTGGCTCTGTCTCTGATATGCTGGGGATGCTCGTCTCTAACAGAGGTTGATCTGTGGATGGTATTTTGGACTCCAAACACTCCACAGAGAGGCACTGGCAGACAAAGCTCTCTGGTCCAGCATCAGTGCACGTTTCTGTCCACAAGCAAGGATCTTTAGAGCAAGGAAACTGGTACACGCAGCCAATCTTAATGCCGTGAGTGACACGCGAATCACCGAGAGTGAACAGTTCATTGTTGACTTCAATATCTCTCAAGCAGCCCTGGAATGATCCGCCACTGCTAGCATGAGTTATTGACTTGAGGTCACTCTTGAAAGCCTGAGACCGGGCTTTATGGACGACACCACCCACATGAAGCATCCCTGTCAACTCCAGTGTACTTGAGGTATCACTAAGCATCATGTTTTCTGGCTCGTAGTCGATGCTGATCCTCAGATTGGCTGGCGCTACATCAATCTTTATCCAGTGCCAATTTGCATCATTTATGATGACTTGAGATGTGAAGTCCACCATGCCATTCCCTCGATCCATCAGGACACGTATTCTGCCATCCACAACCTCAGCTGATAAAAATTGTGTCTTCAATCCACTACTGAACATGAGGAGTCCCAGGGGGGATGATGTCTTCAACCAGCAGGCGAATGAACCTTGAGTGTCTAATTGCCATCGTGGGTACAGGACAAATGCTGTCTCTTTGACAAAGCTGATGGGTGAGTCTGCCGCTGCCTCAAACTCCTCACTACAATCCCATGTGATGTCATTCACAATGCTCCTCTTGTTGGCTGCAGTGGCGTTGAACACCAAGATGTCATTGTAGGTGATGTTCTCGATGCACCCCCGGAAGAAGCGGTCGGCCGATTTCAAGTAGCTGGCTTTCCGCATACCCATGCCCCCCACATAGATCCCGTCCTGGATGTTGAGGGTATCGGCCCGGCCCAGGGTCCGCTCCTCGCGGTGTAGCACGCCATCAATGTACAGCTCCAACCAACCCCCAGCCAGCTCCAGACTCACGCTGTGCCAGTTCAGGTCATTCAGCTTCTCCTTGGGCAGAGAGCGCACCATAAGCTCTCCCTCACCCAGGTTCACCCGGGCCTCAATGACCCCCGACCTCAGCTGAATGATGCAGTAGTCAGTGTCGCCAGAGGCCAGGAGGAGAAGGCCCTTGGACCGGCTAGTCTTGAGGACCAAGTGGATACTAGTTTTTGCTGATGACTCAGAGAGCGGCAGGTAGACATGACTGGTGCCGTAAAATGAAACTGGAAAGAGACAAAAATAAAAAGCAGGTTTACTTGAAAGGGAAAAAACTTGAAGCCAAAAAAAGTTCCTCAAAATGCAGCTTTTGTAACGTTTACTTCAAATGTTTACTTAAAAATTGATTGATTATAGATTTAAGTGAAAGAAAAGATTCTAGGAGACACACATGTATATACATGTGGAGGTACATGTATAACCTCCCAATTTTTGACTTCATGAACAATGCGACAGTCAAGAACCTTAGCCCAGTAATATTAAATGTTAAAAAAACTGAAGTCCATGCAAGTCTACAAGCTCAATGGTTTGACTTGACTTAAGCCCTGTCTCTAATAATACTGTATCGGTCCAAGGTGCCTCAGTCCAGATCATAAACTACATGTAAACCTGTACTTGTCTGAAGACCTACATGTAATTTGGGCTTGAAATGACTCCCAGACTCTGGGAACAAGGCTGGGCAGGGGCCAGGATTGAATCCATTTCAAGACTTGGATTCTTCAGATTTGAACTCACATCAACACTTCAAGTCTATGGTACATGTAGTTCCTTGCTGTTATGGCACAGGGACTTTACCATAGGCATTGCACCACATTTGCACTACATTGTTCATCATGACAAGGGTGCCTTTGTTTTTGGCAGTCCAATAATACCACAGTATCACCTCACATGGATTTTGTTTTAGCAGAGTGGGAAAGAGCGAAAAGAAAATGTGTTACTCCCTTTTACAAGAAAATGCACACAATCATGCATACTCAACAGAACTACCCTCTTTCTATGACAATGTATCATGTACCCTGGTGCATGTATGACTGCCAAATTCTAAGGGTGTAATTTTCATGATTTGTGAATACATCAAGTGAACATTTTTTTGAGATAAGATAAGGAAATTATTCTCTGCAAAACAAGGCTAGCAAAAGACTTTAAAATGCTCACTACTTGTGCTTCAGACGTTATGTACAAATCCCATAATCCCATTCAAATGTGCTCATACATGTACACGTAGAAATACAGTAAAACAAATTTCACAGTCTGACAGACATCACTGTCTAGCTCTTGCATTTGTAAGTGACAGCTGGAACAGACTGAAGGACTATTACACTTCAAGAAGATGTTATTTTCCAGTCGATTCAAAATCAGTCGCTCGTGGTGAACAGCCGGCACTCAAACTTGGAACATTTTAATGGCAGAGGTTGCATCGCCATGGCAACTGCACCAAGGCCAAAAACAGATGCGTATTGACTATTGACCACAGCCACATGTACGTGTAGTGATAGGCATTTACATGGTATCTCTGCATAAGACTCTGAAGGATGATCAGATTTGATTTTGATAGGACAAGATATTCATGATCAGACTTCTTCTTATTTAACATACGTGTATAAATTTGCTGTGAATCTTCTTTGAATGCTGAAAAACATGACAAGTGTTTGTGCTTGTTCATGTACAAGTACATCTGTGCACCGTCACTCTGTAATAGGATAAACACATCCCTGGCCCCGCTGGAACATGGTACTATTCATAATCAACATCCTCTTACATTGACACTTGACGTGATACCCTGCATGAAGTCACTGTATTTTACTGTTTCCAATGAAAATTCTTCAGTGACATGAATCGACAAGATCCTTAATTAAAGGTACTGGTACACGTACCAATGTGAAAATTAAGTGCTCTCTGATTAAAATCACTGCTACATATTGAATGCAATGTCTCCAACCAAAAGCATGTACTGTACACTGTGTACAATAAGCCAGTTCGAACCTAGATACGTGGAAATAAAAAGGAACCTAAAAATGGAGCAAAAAGGAAAAACTTTGCTACAAAATTAAATATACCAGTATGTACATATGTTGCTTTGTGCGCATGTAAATGTAGGCCTACATGTACATAAACAAATTTCTTTTTTTAAATTTAAATAATCTGAAACAGAATTAAACATGTGAGATTCCTTGATCATTTGCAGTCCTTTAGCAAACTTTTGTGACTTTTTGCAATGGCCACTTTGTTCGTTCATGAAAAAAATCTCCCAAACAATGTTGTTTTTGCAAGATGAAATTTTCTCAATATGTTTCTGACCCCAAGCATTTTCCCTTAGGACAGTCCCCCCCAGCTGGGCCTCTTCAATTAGCCAGTCGAGTGTGAAACTATCTACTCAGTGAGGGGTCACGGTTACTTGAAGGAGAAAATTGTGCCCGTCCGACTGCCGCAGATGAGCATCCACGGATACCCTTTGACGTCCAACGGGTCTATTGCTATACGTCCGCGGAAAGTAATTCTCCGAGAATCGGATGGAGAGGGAAAAAAGAGATAAGCTTTTTTTCCTGCATCAATAACAGAGAAGTGAACTTGCAGGGGCTCGGTGGAAATCAATACTGCTCGATGTTATAATACCGCAAATGTGCGGTGATGAATGTTAAAGGTCAGGCTAAAACGAGTGAATTAATATTTGCAAGAACATGCACACAGGCGACGTGTACGTGCAGAAATTTCATTTGTCTTTGGGTACCAGTCAATGGTATTGACTTGGATGTGAAAAAAAGACGAGTTTTGCATTTAATATAAGCGCACAAGTAGTATGAACATGATCTTGCATTATTTTGG